TATATATATATATATATATATATATATATATATATATATATACAGAGACAGGATGATTTTCAGAAAGGATTTTTATTTTAGGTTTTTCTTTAACTTTTTTTTATTTTTTCCTAAATAGTATCTTTAATTTAAAAAGTACTTCTTAAAAATTAATTATATATTTTTCACTTATTATGATATTTTAACATGTAAGATAATCTTTTGATCATCATAATAAAATATTATAAAATCCATTTGAAAACATGATAGAAGAATCAAATAAAATCAAAATATACTAATTTTAGAGTTGAATTTGTGTTGCATTGGGATCTAACATGAATCTATCTTTAGGAAATTCATCAAGCTGGATATCCCAAACCTTATAAAACTAAGTCAGAACCAATCTTAATAACAAAACTAAATTTTATTATCCCACACTGGATAATAACAAAATTAAATTCATCAAGCTGGATATCCCACACTCGACACATGCCAAAGTTAGTACCTAAAATTGAATGAGCCATGTAGGTTTGACTATACGAACAAATTAAATTTTATTATTTGTCATGAGTGTGTTTATGCGATCCCCTTTTATATTATATACCTACGATTGACATCATATAGTTTGTTAACATGAATCAATTATAATCATTTTTATCGACTTTAGGAAATTCACCTGATGTTTCAAACCCCGCAAAACTAAATTAAGAACAATCTAAATGAGGCTTCTCGAACGCCTAAGTTAATACTAAAAATCAGATGAGTTGTACAGGTTAAATTAGACAAACGACCTAAATTTTACTATTTATTATATATCGAGTGTACTCGTATGATCTCCTTTTATATTGGATTCATAAGACATCATATAGTTTGTTAACATGAACCAATTATAATCATTTTTATCGATTACAAACGATTATGTTTGTTTATTAGACTGACTAGAATTGCCTTTTATGATCATTAGGTCATTTCCTTGTTTTCTTTGCTAGATATTTATCAATCATTGGCTCATAATAACAAAATCATGTCCAATATGATATTATAAATATAACCATATAGGATGTTTGATGTGTATCTAGTATAATAACATAAAAGCAATATATATAAATAAATAAATAAATATAAATATACATATATATATATATATATATATATATATAATAGTGAAATTCTAACATAAAACTTAAATGGAGACCTGGAACTTGAAAGTAAATAATTTTCATTAATACTATACTAATTTTGGTGACCGTTAAATTGGGGCATCACAAAGTAGATTATTATATAAAAAAGGATTATGGAAGAAATTAAAAGTAGAGGCATAGTTCTAACAGACTGTTTGTATGGTGTGAGAAAGTTCAACAAGTAATTTATTCTAATAGATATTGTTTTTAAGATCAACAAAATTATAAAATTGAAAAGAATTTTAATATATACATATAACAAAATAATAATAATAATAATAATAATAATAATAATAATAATAATAATAATAATAATAATAATAATAATGTGAGTCATAAGCATGATAAGATACAGAGTATTATATAACAATATTTATAGTAAGATAAGTATTAAGAAGAGGGAAAAGGATATTCTTTGATTTACTAAAACTAAATAAAGGAAGAGGTTTAGGTAATATTATTATGTAGATAAATGAAATCGATAAATTATTTTTATATTTTTCTTAACAAACATTCAACAAATAACTTACGTTAGAGATAGATAATAGTGATCATACATTTCATCCACAATAAAATTTAAGGTACAAATGATTTTTTAAAAATAGTAAGTATTGCAAAATAATAACTTCTTATTCATAAGAGAAAATAGAGAGTTTCGAGAGAGATGAAATGATTTGATTGGAAAATACTGAACATACAGACGTACAATTCTAAATCTTTGAATGGAAAATCCAAAGGACTGCCTGATCGATTGGGTTAGTAAATGATTTAAGCTGTTCACGATCATAAAAAAAAACTTGTTCGTAATTAATTAATCATCGAGATTAATCAATCAAGCCGAGTCTAATTCTCTATCTCGGACTCCTAAATGGGGCTGGGTTTGATTCATTTAAGCTCGTTGATTAATGAACTCTTTCTAAGCCACCCATGCGAAATTAAGTCCTGTTTGGATAGATACGTAGACATGCGTTATGTATTAAGCATGCGAACAAAATCACAAATAGTCAATATTTGATGCATTCATAAATAAATACGCATGCAAATTAGTGACATATATAATTATTAATAACTAAATTGTTGCAGAAATTTGTTTATTTATTTATTTTGGTGCAAGTCACTAGTTAATGTTTGCTTTTGTTTTTTGTTTTTATCAAAGATAATGTGCATCGACTGATGTAGCTAATTAAAATATTAAATCATTATATGAGGTCTTGGATTAATCTCGTTAAACAATTTGGGTAGGGTCGATCTAGTTGAGTTATGAGCTTAATCAAATCGAGTATAGTCGAGTCCAATCAAAAGCTTGCCCCTCAAAAATTTGATTGTACTGTTTTCATCCATATTATAGCCATCCTATGAACTAATCCATAGGATGCACTCAATCCAAGTGAATAGAAAGACATTGTATAGGGATTATTTCTTATTTTTTTATTATTCATTCAACAAATGTAATATGACATAATTTGCAAGGATATATTTTCATACGAGTCATAAAAAAATTATTTATGATATTTTATAATGTTATTATAGTGTTTTCATTCATATAAAATACTATAAAGTGAATAGAAAAACACTATAAGAGGGGTCATTTTTCATATTATTATCATTCATTCCACTCAATATCTTGTCAATAAATATAATAGAATATAATTTATACTTGTATTTTATATAAAGTCATAAAAATTCACTTATAATGTTTTGAAACTCGTTATAGTGTTTTCGTTCATATAAAAAACACACTAAAGGAAATATATCCTAAATTCTTATCATTCATTCCACTTCATACTATATCAACAAATGCAGTATGATATATTACACAGATGCATTTCATAGAAGCCATAAAAAATTATTTAGGGTGTTTTGGGACATCCTAATTTTGTTTTCGTTCATATATAGAAAACGC